GCTCCCTTAAAGTGCTAAAATTAAAATGAAAAAACCTGTCAGTACAGAATTCTGTATCCATCAAAAACATCTTTCAAAAGTGGAGATGAAACAAAGGCTTTCTTAAACAAAAACTGAGCAGCAAACCTCCTCTACTAGAAGCCTTAAAAGGAAGTTCTTTAACATTTAAAAACAATGGAGAGAAAAGCTCGTCCATACAGAAGAACTTTAATAAGCATAGAGGGACTTGGGGAAATAGGGAGTTATTGTTAGAACACCAAAGTAAATAATTTCAAACTTTATTCTCAGCCCACTGTTAACTTGTATGTCAAATAAGATAATTATCCCTCTTATTTCAGAAAAGATTAAGGGCAGTTTTAAGATAATTGCCCTGCCTACTTCATAACATGGTTATGAAAGTCAAAATATTATAATTGTGAATGGTTAAGGCTGAAAACCATAAAATGCTAGTAAGATACAAGATACTATTATAGCTTTTCTAAAACATTTTATTATGTTGGTGGTTCAACTGGCTCAGGTTATACGGAAATGAAAGGGCTCTGTGGAGAGAAATAAAGACATTGGTATTTGTTTGGTTTGATATAAAACTAACACCAGGGTGACATCATTTTTGTTTGTTTGTTTTTGAGACAGAGTCTCACTGTGTCACTCTGGGTAGAGTGCTGGGGCATCATAGCTCACAGCAACCTCAAACTCCTGGGCCTGAGCAATCCTTTTGTCTCAGCCTCCTGAGTAGCTGGGATCACAGGCTTGTGCCACCGCTGCTAGCTAAGTTTTTCTATTTTTAGTAGAGCTGGGGTTTCACTCTTGCTCAGGTTGGACTTGAACTCCCAAGCTCAAACAATCCACCCACCTGACCTTTCAGAGAGCTAGAATTACAGGCGTGAGCCACCACCCTGGCCTCAGAGTGACATCATTTAATAATTGAGCACCATTATAGAAACACAGTGTAGTAAGTATTTAGTACCAGGTCCAAGAACAAAACAAAATCTTTTACTGTTCAATACAATATCCCCTGACCCCCTGCCCTAGAACATGGACTGTAAGGGCCCTCAATTTCTGAGTTTCCAAAGGGTGTTCCCTGAGCATCAATCGCCTCTTTAGATCTTAACAGCTTTGTAGTCGTTGGTGTTTCCATTTCCATTTTAGAAATGCAAAAGGCCTGGGGCATAGAGAGCTCAACAGACTTGCCCAACCCCTCCCACATTGAAACTATCGACACTGATGTTCAAACTCAAGTGTTGTGGTGCCAAGAACTGTTCTTCACCTGTGGTTGGCCAGACGTCAGAAACTGCTTTTTTGGTATTTTGTAATTTATATTCTGTTGCACAAAATGTGAGATGTTTACAATGATTTGGGTAAAACCTGAGATGATTTTAGGGGCTCTTAGGTGTGCCATTAACATCAAGTCACAAGTGAGAAAGTTTCCTTTCTAAGTCTCTGCTAGTCCTGTATGGTGCTGGTGTGTCTTCACCGCCTCCCCGACACTGGCTAATCTCTATTTTTAACAAAGAGGGAGAAGGAGGATGCCTCAGGCTTAGAGCTGTTACTAGAATACGGGATCTGGCAAGAGCATTACTAGATCTTTACCTATTTTTAAAATTCCTCTATTTTCAATACAGTGCTATGAATATGGAGTATTTATAGCAAGTGATACCAGTCTTCCATTCAGTTAATGAGACAAAGTTTCTTTTTAAGAGAAAACTAATTAAAGACTGAGTTAATTAAAATATAAGATGATAGTATTTCAGGTAGTACAGACATATGGCCAAACTTACACAAGTGGTAGGGGATGATGGTCACATGAGAAACTCTGTGTCTCAGCTTCCAGGCCTCGGTGTGAAGGGCCAGTTTGTTTATAGCAACACATAAAACTTCAAGACTGCCCATCATGGATGAAACCTAAAACCAGATGTTACCTCCATGAGGCCCTTCACTCCTCTGGGGAGACTCTGGGCTCTTACCAATGATTTTCAACTGGAGTGCCATGAGAAGATATTAGGTGTGCTGCAGACATGTTAAAGGATCATTGATCAAATCATTTTCTTTCTTTCTTTTTATTTTATTTTATTTATTTTATTTTTTTCAGACAGAGCCTCAAGCTGTCCCCCTGGGTAGAGTTCTGTGGCATCACAGCTCACAGCAACCTCCAACTTCTGGGCTCAAGCGAGTCTCCTGCCTCAGCCTCCCAAGTAGCTGGGACCACAGGCGCCCACCACAGTGCCCGGCTATTTTTTTGGTTGCAGCTGTCATTGTTGTTTTGGCGGGCCTGGGCTGGATTCGAACCTGCCACCTTAGGTGTATGTGGCTGGCGCCTTAGCCACTTGAGCCACAGGTGCCGAGCTGGAATTAACATAATTTAAGTGTGCCATGGAAGTTTAACTATAGGTTCAAGTGTGCTGTGAGATAATAACAAAGGTTGAAAAACACTGTCCTCAACAGAGGAGCCTGGCCCGACCTCACGGTTTGCTGTACCCTGTCACTTTCCTCTTACTCAGTATGCTGCCACGCACAGTAGGACAACCTGATTTCTGGTGGGGGAGGCCATACAGCAACAGTTCAAAGAGGGCAGAATAGAGAGAACTAGGAAGCAGGGCTGGAGACTCACCGAGTGGGTACAAAGAGAACAAGAGAAAGTAGCAGTAAATGCTTGTGTGCCATAGAAGACATGAGGACCCCTTCGGAAATGTGACAAAAACCATGACTCTCACTACCCAGGAAAATGGATGAAAGCCCATGTGTGCCCTTTCACATCTGTGTGTGCATACCTGACAATATTCGGGGATTTGCAGGCCCCAGGTTTTGAACTCAGCTTTGACTGACTATCTAGAAATTCCCTTGTTGACCATTTCATCCCTAAGAGTAACCGTAGAGAGACTTAACTAGCAAGGCCTCCTAGTTTGGCAAATTTTCTTTCATATATGACTACCATCCATCCACCCAACACACTGCACTGCTCTCCTCACACTGGTTCTCAGATGTTTTCAACAGGAGACCATCCACCCAGGGGAGAAAAAACTCATCCTCTGATACCCTGAGGGGACACCTCAGGAAGTTCATCCTAAGCTCAAATTTTGTTTTATTATTTAGCTTAAAAGTTTATGCCTATTTTGGATCCTACCTAAAGAAAGGCATGTGCTTTGATAGTCATCTCTCTGTAAAAATTGTTTAATAAAACTGCCCCTCTAGGGGGGCAGATGAACTTTGTGTATACTGATGCTCCTGAGTCTTCTGACACACCTTCAAGGCCTCCAGAGACCTGTGCAGGAGATACATGGAGGGACTTGCTTTAGGCCTGTCCCTGGACCAGAAATATGGGGATCAAGAAATCCCGTAGCAGCTGCTTCCACATCTCCACAGCACCAGTGCACAGCCCATGAGGAGCTCCATTTGGGGTCACAGGTTCCTCACCAGGGTTTTGCAGTAGCTCCAGAGGCTACCCCTTTAAGAATGATGTAGAAAATAATTTAAGCTCTCTAGTTTAGGCACTTTGAGTACTGTAAAGAAAATATTTGGGTTTGAGAGCTGGAAGAAAAGGCAACCACACCAGTGTGCGGAGGGATTCACAAGCTGTGTGGAGTCGGGGAATTTGGGAGACCTGGGTTCCTGCCCCAGCTGTGCACTGTCCAGTCACAAGACTTCACATAAGGAGCAATTCCTCATGCCTCTGTTTCCTGGCGTCAAGAACAAGGAGGTTGGATGAGATGGTTCCTAAAGGTCTTCCCAGCTCCACTGTTCTCTGCTCACCATTTCAGTTTCACTAGGCTTAGGTTTCAGCTTTGTTTTTAGAGGCTGGTATCTCCACATCATTTCTGAAAGTGCTCTGTGTACACCACTCTAATCTTCTAAACACAGCAGCTCTTTTCAATGCCGCTGTCACCCCTCAAGCTGAACTCTCCTGCCCATCTGAATAAGGTCAACAGTCTTTGTTTTAACTGCTTGGGAGTTTCTGTACTTGGACATGTTACAGTTACATGTTCAGAGAGGACTGAAATGGATTAAACAAGAAAAATTCAAGTTCATTATCTGGCCTAGAACGTTTCTCCAGTCAAGACTCCAAGATGAAGCTCACATTTCTAAAGGTCAATTTCCCATGTCCTTTTCCTGAGTCCAGTTAATGCCTGTTTGATAGGTGCTTGTCCTTTGCTGTCCACAATAAGCACTCATGGACTCTTAGGTAATAAAATGAGGATTTATTAATTTTTCAGTTTTAATAAATAGTCTTATCTTTGCAATGGGCCCCAAGCCCTGGTAAAAACGAGATGGTCTCCGTGACCATTCAAAGAGAAAATGTTAAGCTATATTCTCTAGTTACAAAAGTGAGTCTTTCCCCCTCCCCTTCCCTCACCACCTTGCTGCAGTTTAAAGGCCTGAAGCTGAATTTAGTTTTCTTATCACACTGAAGTCCCACAGACACCTTAGCCAGGCGTTAAGACCTTAGAAATAAAAAGAAAGGGAAAACAAGACAGAAGCAGGTATCAAGAGCAGAACAGAAATCTTCCCCACCATGGCACCACTGACAAATCCGCTCCGAAGGAAGGATGCCCGGCAAAAAAGAAAGCCCAGACACGCCCCAAGTATTTTTCCCCCTGTTTTGAATTCATCCCTTCAGAGTTCCGGGTCAAAGTTGGGGTCTTCAGGATTCTCCTTTCCAAATGCTCAACACAGCAGTAAGGAGTCAAGGCTTAAGTCAAAGCTATCCCCCCAGGCAGCTGAAACTCTGAACCAAGAAAAGTAAAGAAAGAATGCAACGTCTCAGGCTGCTTTTGTGATTGGTTTTTTAAAAGACTGTAACTCAGACTGAAAGAATAAAGAGAAGGAGAAAGGCATTGAGGCTTAGGTTCCCCAGCCCTGGAAGGTGTCTGTTGAGTGGAGCCAAGATCAGAGCTCCCAAGCTGGGTTTGTGCCGGCTCCAGGTGCAGCGCCCAGCAGGGCCTTGGGGAACAGCTCGCCGTGGTCCCTCACTCTCCCCGAACCCCGCCCAGTGTCCACTCCTGCCTCTACCTGTCCCCGCTCGTCTCTGCCAACCTGTTGTTCATTATTGCGAAGGCTCCTACGCCCCCTGAGAACTCGTCGTCCCGGGTCAGCGCGCTGGTCTGGTGCGGGCAGCCATTGGCCGTTTCCGACAGCTGCTTCTGCAGGATGGCCAGCGACACCTTGTTGGCCGCCAGGAAGTCCTTGACCGAGATCATCTCACCCGAGAGGCGGCGCGCGTCCGCCTCGCTCTCCGCCACCGCGTCCGTTTCTATGGAGACGTCGCAGCGCGTGCGCACTGTGCCCGGCATTACCGCGTTCCGCCGCGACCGCAGGACCCTCCTTCCGCACCGCGGGCAGCACCCGCCGTCCATCTTCCGCAGGATCCAGTTCACCGACTGTTTGATGAGGATGGAGATGACGTTGAACAAGGAGTAGATGCAGCAGACGCCCATGAGGATGAAGACGAAGTTGGCGAAGCGGTAGAGGCCCTGACGCTCATAATGGGCGTTCTGGCTGCTGACCAGGTCCCCGAAGCCGATGGTGCTGAAAGCCACAAAGCAGAAGTAGAGCGAGTCGAAGTAGCTCCAGCCCTCGATGGGGGTGTACATGGCGGAGGCGCAGCAGGAGATGAGCACCGAGGCCGTGCACAGAATCAGCATGACGTAGTACACCGAGGGCTTCCAGCCCGCCAGGCTGTCCACCTCGCACTTCCCCGCGCCCTTCAGGCTGTCCGGGGGCAGCGCCCCGCGTCGCCGCAGCTGCCGCTGGTGGCACGATTTCATGATATAGGCGATGACAGTGATGAGGCGCTCCAGGAAGAGGTTGAAGAACAAGATGGTGCTTGAACACCCAACGAGGCCGTAAAAAATCAGAAAGATTTTTCCTCCGACTGTCGCTGGGGTCGTCATCCCAAACCCTGCAGGGGACAAAGCATAGAAGAGTGAGAGACGTTTTGCTGTGAATGGGGTCTGGGACTTGGCTTAGACGGCTGGAGAAGGACCTAAAGAAACACTTTAATAGAATCACTCCTTCGTAGCCTAACAGGAAAGAGCAGGAGAGTTCCCACCGCCTCTTTAAGACGTTACATGTTGTTCAGAGCTGGGCTGCGGCCAGCCCATGTGGCGCTGTTGTGCAATTCGGAGAAAAGCACCTCCACTCTGAGTGGATACAGCCAACAAAAAATGGCTTGGTGATGAGACCGTGGGCCGGATATCAGCCTCCCTTTCCCCCCTCTGCTAGATGTCCTTGTACAGTACACAACCTGAACAACCATACCCCACAGATCTGTGTTCAGAGAGATAAGTAAAGGCAAAAAAAAAAAAAAGGCTTAGACAGAATAATCAGAATTCATTTATTCTACAAATACCTTTTTAACTTAAGGATAGAACCATGGAAGACAGGTCTGGCCCCTGTTCTCTTGGAGCCCTAGTCCAATGAGGTGATTATTGTATGATTAGAGGAGTTAGGTAGGCAGGGAGAAGGGTGTATGTGTGTGGTGTGGTGGAGAATTTCCAGCAGAGAAACAGTGGTGCCAGCACATGTAGAAAAGAGAAACTGCTCAAGATTTTCCCATCTTAAACAACATTCTTCAAACACACACCTCCTGCTTTTGGAGTGACAACAGGCATATTCGATGTTATGGTTTGATAAAATACAAAATGTCTCTCTTGCCTTTGTCTCTAATTGTTCACAATTTCTACCTTCTTGGCCTGTCTACCTGTGCACACAGGGTACTGCTAACATTACACATTGTAGGACAATGGATGTTACCAAGAAAAGTAGAAAAGACAGCAGAGATGCACTCAGTATTTCTCACTAAGGGGCAGTGAGGGGTCAGCCCACTCTCTCTGGAGGGATGTGGACTCCTTCCAAGCAAATCATTCCATAAACATAGGCAGGGTGATTTTTTGAAAATTGGCATCGGAGTCACTCTGAGTGCAATCACGATTAAAATAATGCACAATGAACATTCCTCCCTCCGGTTTCTTATTGAGTCAAACCTCCCCTTTCTATTTTTTCTTTGTTTTCTCTTTAAAATTTTTATTTATTTTTATTTTGTATTATTTATTTTTTTTATAGTTTTTGGCCAGGGCTGGGTTTGAATCCACCATCTCTGGCATATGGGGTCAGCACCCCATGAGCCACAGGCACCACCCTATTATTTATTTATTTTTTTGAGACAGAGTCTCACTTTGTCACTGTCAGTAGAGTGCCGTGGTGTCATAGCTCACAACAACCTCAAAGTCTTGGGCTGAAGTGATTCTCTTGCCTCAGCTTCCTGAGTAGCTGGGACTATTTAGAGATGAGGTCTGGCTCAGGCTGGTCTGGAACTTGTGGCTCAGGCAACCCATGTGCCTGGGCTTTCCAGAGTGTTAGGATTACAGGCATGAGCCACTGCGCCTGGCCCTTTTTTATTTTATTTTTTCAAGTTCAGTTTTCTAACTTGGGTCCTACTGTTGGGTTCATAAGAACTCTTTCCTGGCTCGGCACCTGTGGCTCAAGCAGCTAAGACACCAGCCACGTACACCTAAGGTGGTGGGTTTGAATCCAGCCCAGGCCTGCCAAACGACAATGACGGCTGCAACCAAAAAATAGCTGGGCATTGTGGCAGGCACCTGTGGTCCCAGCTACTTGGAAGGCTGAGGCAGGAGACTCGCTTGAGCCCAGGAGTTGGGGTTGCTGTGAGCTGTGATACCATGACACTCTACCCAGGGGGACAGCTTGAGGCTCTGTCTCAAAAAAAAAAAAAAAGAACTGACACCTTTTCTTTTCACTACAGTTCAGCCAGTGGCTGCCTCTCTGCCTCTCAGTGTACTCTTGGGAAGTGTTCAGATCAGACCTTGGAATGTGTGGGCCTGTGGGATTGAGACCTCCTGGTCTGCTCAGCTCAGGCCAAGGGGCCACCTTTCCCCAACACCCAGATGTGCAACTCTGTTACCATTTAGTTTTCCAACTAAATTCTATTTTCCTTTCTTAGCACACAAGAAGCTGCATTTAGGTATGAAATTATATACCATGAAGTAGAGGGTGATACTGAGTTTAGCCTCTCAGCTGGCTGGATGGAGTGGAATGGACATGGGGATTTGGTAGATGAAGGATGGAGGACAAGTGGTTCCACTGAGAGTTCGTTAGGGCCCTTCATGGTAGAGAGAAAACCAGACTATCATCTTTTCTTTGAGAACTCTTGTTTTAAAAATCAGAGCCCTTCAGCAGCACTTGGCAGTGAAGGTTCCCCAGTTGCAAGACCAGAAAGTATTGCTCTGGTAGTCACTGAACACAGAGAACTAAACACAGGAAACATGCAGGGAAAAGGGAAGCTTTTACTTGGAGCTATTAACCTGGTAATATTCCAGAAACGGAACAAAGTCAATGAAAATAGAGAAGATTCAGAAGCAGTAAGTGTGTGTGTGTGTGTTGCCGGAGGCAATCACAAGGAATTAGAGAACTTTCTCATGTATTCCCTTCCCGTCCTGAGGTGATTTAGTTATTTTTCTCTTAGAAAGTGGAGCAACAGGGCTGCACCTGTGGCTCAGTGGGTAGGATGCCGGCCTCATATATTGAGGGTGGCGGGTTCAAACCCAGCCCCGGCCAAACTGCAACAAAAAAAGAGCCGGGCATTGTGGCGGGTGCCTGTAGTCCCAGCTACTTGGGAGGCTGAGGCAGAAGAATCGCCTAAGCCTAGGAGTTGGAGGTTGCTGTGAGCTGTGACACCATAGCACTCTACTGAGTGCGATAAAATGAGACTGTCTCTACAAAAAAAAGAAAGAAAGAAAGAAAGAAGGAAGGAAAGTGGAGCAACAGGAGTTGTTACGCATTAGGTACCAGCTACAAGGTAATAGTACTATACTGAGCACCTGTTAAGTTCAGGGCCCTGCGCTCTGTGGCTGGGAAACTGCGATAGTCTGCGTTTCATCTGTGGGGATGATGAGTTGTTAGGCTCTTTGGCCTTCAGGCAGGCAGGTGCCATGTTCTTTGCAGTAATCATGATTAAACAACATGACCTCATTCCGATGTACTTAGCACTTGACTCAGAGCCACTGTTGTTCTGGTTGGTATATAAGGCTCTGAGACTTTCCACCTGTGCGGATTTCGCTGCACTTCCTCACCTGCCTCCACAAGCTAACTAAAGGGCACCTCATAGTTAACAGCTCTTTGTGTTTTTTTTCAGTATTTCCAAATCTACTACAAACCTCTCTAGCCTTACCCTCTTGCACTACAATGTTGCCAAAAATTCATGTGTTGAGATCTTCACTCCCACAGGAATAGTATCAGGAGGTGAGGCCTTTGGGAGGTGATTAAGTCCTGAGAGTAGAGCGCTCATGAATGGATTGGTGCATTATAAAAGAGCACTGAATCACGCCTGTAAACCTAGCATTCTGGGAGGCTGAGGCAGGTGGACTGCTTGAGCTCAGGAGTTTGAGACCACCCTGAGCAAAGATGAGACCCCATGTCTACTAAAAAATAGAAAAATCAGCTGAGCGTTGTGGTGGGTGCCTGTAGTCCCAGCTACTCAGGAGACAGAGGCAAGGGGAATCGCTTGAGCTGAGGAGTTTGAGGTTGCTGTGAGCTATGACATCATAGCACTCTAGCCTGGTGGCAACAGAAACTCTGTCTCAGAAAAAAAAAAAGGATAAAATTTCTTCTGTCTTATTTGGTTTTAAAGCACTCAATTTTGTTTTTAAAAAGGGATAATCATCCCTTTTGGTTACTTACTGTGTATGATCACTGCCATCTCTCAGAAAAAATAACAGAAAATGGCATAAGTGGTGTTGTTCATGGAAGGAAGAGGAGACAGATTCCTATGTCTGCACTTAGAGGCATTTCTATGTTTTTATTACTCTCAGGGCTTGTAAGTGTGTGAGCAGGCTAATGATGCAGGCTTTTTTCATAGAAAGCCTTCCTCTTTTGCACCCCATAATACTGAATGTTGACGATGCTTGGATGGTGAATAACAACCCTCAAAGTCCTTCTTTTTTTTTTTTTTAGACGAGCCTCAAGCTATCCCCCTGGGTAGAGTGCCATGGCATCACAGCTTACAGCAACCTCCAACTCCTGGGCTCAAGCGAGTCTCCTGCCTCAGCCTCCTAAGTAGCTGGGACCACAGGCGCCCGACACAACGCCTGGCCATTTTTTTTTTTTGGTTGCAGCCTCATTGTTGTTTGGCGGGCCCAGGCTGGGGACTCGAACCCACCACCTTAGGTGTATGTGGCTGGCGCCTTAGCCGCTTGAGCCACAGGCGCCGAGCCTCAAAGTCCTTCTTGGTAGAGGAAAAGGGCTCAGGCATTATTACCAATAGTATCAGGAGGTGAGGCCTTTGGAAGGTGATTAAGTCATAAGAGTAGAGTGCTCATGAATGGGATTGGGACACTTATAAAAGAGCACTGAATCACGCCTGTAATCCTCTCATTCTGGGAGGCTGAGGCAGGAGGCCTCACCTCCTGATCCTTCCCTCCACCCTGCTGTGTGCTTGTCACTAGCTCCTCACACTCACTGGGGAGCTGGGAGTTAACTAGTTTCCTAGTTCCATTTGACAGAAGAGAAGAAGATGACTACAAAAGCTAAGTAATTTGCCTAAAGTCATAAAGCCAGAATTAGAACCTGGATGATCTTCTCTCCTGGGTCTGTGCTTTTTCTACCTGACTATTCTAACTGAGTGTAGGCCACTGCCAGGGGTACAAGCCATAAGTAGGGCTGAGAAAGCCAAGTGCCCATAGTTTCATGCTTTGTAGAGACAGCCAGACCACACTGGCTGCCAAATCTAATACCCAGACCAGGGGGCATTGGCTGGCATCAGAAGCTAAAACCCGACAGTTTTCTCTTACTAGAACACATATTTCTGAATGTATGTGTGTCTCTTCAAACAAATAATTAAATCGGTTTAAAAGCCTGTTATGCCCCATGAATTTCAGTCTCCCT